CATCTCGTCGGGGGGGGCCCACCCCGCGGCTCACGAGCCGCATGCGGCTCTTTGGCTGCTTCAATACGGCTCCCGGTCTTTCACACGACAATTGTCGAAAACGCCTTGGCGATGGCGCTGCCATTCAAACAACGGTGCTTAATACACTGAATCACCGCTCATGCGCAGACAACGGCGCTAAGTGCTAAGCTAGTCAGCGAATTACCTCTGTTTTTAAGAAATCGGTGCCCAATATGTCGATCGCAATCGACCATGAGCCAGCAGACTGGTCCCAAGTCACTGCGAGCGGTGGGAGGAGGAAATGGGGGAGAAAAAAAAAAAAAAAGATTTGTGTGTTTGTGTCTTTAGGTTTCATTTTTGTTGGGGCACTCCAGCTGTTGCTCGTCGTGGCGTGCATGCATATGTGCCCAGTGCATAGTTGTGTGTGTGTGTGTGTGTGTGTGTGTGTGTGTGTGTGTGTGTGTGTGTGTTCATATGCTTGCACGTGCTCGATCGTGGGAGGTTGGTTGCTCCTAAAGTCGATCTTTGGGCAAAAAAAGGTGTGTGTGTGTGTGTGTGTGTGTGTGTGTGTGTCTTTGCATTAACACAGTAACAAAATTGGCTCTTAGTCTCTGACTGGTTGGCCACCCCTGATCTACGTGGTAGAAAAAAAATGATGGAACAAGTTAGTGCAGTGCTGCAGGGCAGAGTTCTTGTCCTACCTTACCGTATTTTGCATACAATTTAAGTACATAGAATTGATTTTCGCATAAAATAGTGCGATGAATATAAAGTTAATACATTTACCAATATTTCTTATTGAATTATTAACAATAAATCAACCAATTACCACAAAGGCGATGGTACCTCAAAGTCAGATCGCACCATCCGTCGTCGTTCAAGCCCAAGTGGACTTCGTGAGACAACCAAACAGCATGTTGACAAGCCATAAAGCTTCCAGGAAAACGTGTTCTGGACATGTTTTGGCAATGCACATCAGCTCTTTGCTCAAAGATGCAAAAATGAAGCGTAGCAAGAAAAGAACACTGCTCCTTCTGTGAAACATGAAGGAAGGCTCTGTTGTGTTCCGGAGATGCTTTGCTCATGTGGTACAGGGTGTCTTGAAGCTGTGCAGGGTAAAACGAAATCTCTAGACTGGTATTCTTGAAATGTGCTGCCCAGTGACAGAAAGCTTAGTCTCAGTTGCAGGTCAGGGGTTTTGCAACAGGACATGCACAACTAAAAACATCCAGGACTGACTAGGAGGAAAACATTGGACTTTTCTGAAGTGGCCTTGGTGAGCGCTCATCTAATTCCGATTCAACGCCTGTAAACACCTTTCTGAGAAGTGCAGAGTCTCAAAGCTATAAAAACAGATTAATTGCAGTGATTGGATGAAAACGCTGTGCTACCAAATATTAAATTAAGGGTACCGTTTCATTGGTTTTTTTTTTTTTTTTTTGTGGCTTCTTTAAATAATTCTGTTGACGGGCAGCACAGTGGGATAGGCCAGCACGGCCGCAACCCCAGTGAGGTTAAGCGGATAAGAAAATAGATGGAGATGAATTCTGTCAAACCACGTGTCATATCTTATTCTTATTAGTTAATTTTTATAGAAACATTTTTATTACCGGTACTACTTTTGAAGTAAATGCAGTGGCCAACCACTGTGGGGGAGGGGTATTAACAATTTTGTCCATGTGTGGGTTGAAAAGATCCTCAAGCATTAATCCCACCCAAACCAAAGCAACAAAACTATTTTTCAACAAAAAAAAAAAACGGTTGAAATGCTTCAGTAAAATCTACTTTAATACACTTTGAAACAAGAGTACAACAAAATAGAATATACTTCAAATGTTGAATATACAAACAGTTCAGTCTGAACACAAAACTTCAGTATTTTCCCTCTTTTTTGGTTAAAAAAAAAAAATGAAATGTAGGTGTAGGGCCAATGTGACAGGAAAAAAAATGACCTTTTTTAAGTGACCTTTGGGACTTGAAGACTGACATCACATTCAGGATACTTAATACATCCGCTATCAATTAAAGAATTAGGTTATATACATATTCCCATGGATTCGTTTATCTGAGACGTGGCAGTGTGGACTGGCTCAAAGTCAACCATTAGGTTAAAAAAGAAAAAAAAAACTCAATGAACATTCTGCATAACTGAGATCGATGACAGAAAGCACTCAAGGGTTTACATTTCTGATGATTTCATGACGTTAACTGTACAGTTTGCATGATCTGGTTCTATTGCCACAGCTAATAACTAATCAGAAGTTAAATCCCTATTTTGCTGATAATTTGTTGACTCATGATTTCAACTGTCTCAAAATGAAATCAAAACAGATCAGTCATTAAATTGAGAAACAAACCAGTGCTTTGATCGCCCCCCCCGCCAAAAAAACTCATAGCTCCGCTATTCCCTTAGCAAATGTTCGATCCTCTTGTTTCTGTAATACTGTGCTTGGTACAAGTTATGAAAAGATTGAAAAAAATAAAAAATAAATTCAACTTACAGTTCATATAGTACATTAAGGAGGTCAAAATTAAAATCAAAGGCTGCCCTGTTATTAGCTCTGTAAACTATGTATAGTAGCCATTTACATATATATAGTTCTATATATACTCCTTTGGGACCCATGTAGCACCACACACACACGTGCAGACATACATTTGATTTGCACAGTGCCTGAAGTAGAAATTGCTGGTTGAAACAATCGCACACAAAAACAAAACAAAAAAGCAATCAGGCTTCTACGTGCGCACACTTTTTTGGAACCAATTAGAGGACATTGGACTTCTGTTCAAATCGCTTGTGTAGTGTTTCGGGTTGATGAGACTTGCTGCTCGTGACGGGTTCATTGTGAGCGGGCGTAGCGGTAGTGATTTGGGTTGGTCCCTTTCAAGTTTGTGTGTTCCTATTTGCATGTTGGGCTCCACCACAGACTTTTCATTTTACAGGCTTGGCTGAAACGCTTCATGCAGCAGAGGAAAAAAAAACAACAACAAAAAAACGGCATTAAAAGTCTATCAAACTTCTGCTGGTTATCACAAGTGTAATAAAAAAACGTTGCATGTACAAAGTGATTCACTCGAGTGGGGAAAGGGAGCATGTGTGAATGACTGGTGGATCTCAACACTCTGGCTCTTCTGTCTTCACCACCTCGGTGGATTCCAGTTTGATTAGCGCATGCGACGGGGCGCCTTTGACATTGCCTTTATTCTGCGGGACAGCGACCGTCACGGGCACCTGCACCGCTTGGACTTGGACACCGGCAGCCTTAAGCTCGTCCCCACCCACCACCAGCTCCGAGCCATTGAAAAGGCCAGCGACCACGCGCGGCTGCGGCGAAGCCGAGCCCTCGGCCGTCGCCACCGTGACGGCGCCCGCCGCGCTCCCCGACTGCTGCGCCGCCGCAGCAGGCTGTTGTTGTTGCGCTTGCGCAGGCACAGACAGCCTCATAACCTGTGCTCCCGAGGTCACACCGACCGGGGCCAGGGTCTGCACTGTCAGTGGGCTTCCCAGGAGGCTGATGCCAGTCGCCGACGCGCTGACACCGGGCTTGGCGGGGCCCGTGGGGGTCTGCAGCTGACATTGAGCTAACTGGTGAGCCGGGATGGTGATGATCTTGGCCAGCTGGACGGTGATCTTCTCGCCATTCTCTGCCGTGGCTGGGACCATGGTAGGGATGGTCTGGATCACAACCTACGGCCAACAAATGAAATCTGTACCCCAATGGACAAACTGTGGAAAATTGACAGTGAACTCATCTCTATACAAATAGTTGTCTCTCTGGAATGCTGTTTATTAAAATATCTAATATATAATTATCCACTGTTAACATGTTTTGCCTGAACCTATCCACTTCCTGTCAGCCATTTTGGAAATGAC